GACGATCGTGTGCCACACCCCCCGCTTTACCCTGGTGATACATCCCCATTTGGTATTTAGCGGATCAAAACGTCAGCAAAGCAACCGTTTATCAAGTATAATACTGCCCTAGAGCGAAGTGATGTTATACTAGAGGGTGAAGAAAGTAGCATGCATGCACAACGAAATTCCAAATATCTGTTCAGCACATATTTGCATGCAAAGTGACGACTTACTCTCCAGCAGCTCATTCAAAAAACATTACAGTGGGGAAATAGACTAATTACAGATAATTATTACAACCATTTTCTTCTTATTCTTCATCATATTCATTACGTTTAATCAGGTATTTGCCATTTGATTTCTTCCATATCATATGAAACTCTCCATCCATGTTTCCGACTTTCTCAGTTTCGGTTTTGTAATGGCCATCAACAATGATGTAGTCCTCTGTCATTTGATAGTGCTCATCACTCCAAGACTACAATCCGATAATGTTCAGTTTACATACATCATTCAACTTCCTACCTTCATAGAAGTTCCTCCTCTTTGCCTGTCGTACTCCTCCAGCAGGTGCCTTTTGATCTCTGAAAACGCATTTCCAGGTACTGGAATATATTATAAAACGACTCAATATACCTTCTTTGCCGTAAAACCCCCTCTTCCCTCTTTCGACAAGAACTGCGTGTGGATGATAGAACTCAATGGCCTGCAAAACAATTCGTGTTTACGTGAAACAAAACAACTCCATTCATCTTGAAGTAAGTTTTTTGATAATGCAGTTTAAAGTTCGACAAATCTCATTTTATCCAAGTAGAGCCGCACTAACCTTATCAAAGTCACGCTTCTGAAAACATTTCCACAGCTCCAAGAGAACAGGTCGAAGAGCGGCTTTTGCATCTCAAATGTTTATACATTGCACCAGTATAAGAAGAAAATTATCGTTGATTTATTTCCTTTATACTTTTGGAACAGTTTTAGGGTCGTACAATTCACATAGACGTGAAGTACAAAATCGCAACCTCAGCTAGAGCTTAGTTTCATTCGCAAGCCATTAATCCATTGCCGGCTATCTTCATATCACGAGTATATTGTGATCTCAAGTGGATCAAACTGATGTTCATCTTCAAAATAGTGATGAGCTCAAAAGGTAATACATTGCTGCGATTTGATTACTAT